TTCTCTCCATCTATTAATGCTTTCTATTTCATTGTACTTGCAACACCTTTAATATTTGCTTTTCTATTGGTAATCATCTGATATTCCACTTCTAATTAACAACCTTTTCTTTTGTCTATCTTCATTATTCGAACTTCGGTTTTTTCTTTCTTTTGGTTTTTTTTTGTGTGTGATTCAAACCATTTTTCATATTGTATCTTTTGTTCTACTTCAACTCTTCTCTCACCGGGGGAGGTGTTATGTCAGGAGAGACATCTCCTGACATAAGAGGGCTCTCTCTATAATATTACAGCTCTCGTTAATGGCATTCCTTCTCGTCGCTCCATGATATCTCTTTGTTCTGAAAATAAACAACGAGGTATATCATGGAAGAAGAGAGAAAGAGAGAGAAAGACATTCTTTGTTGCTTTTTTTGTTTTTCATCATTCACTTGTTTTGTTTTTTAAAGAAAGGGTGAGAATAATAAAATAAAAGGAGTAAAGGCCTAACAAATTGGTGCACTGGTCGGTTTTGTTTAATATCCGCATTAATATTGTATGTTAACTCGACAAGGTGCAGCACAACTTATCGCATCCGAATTTACTCGATTATCTAATATTGATATTGATTATCCTGATCGTTCGCACGTACATCCTGTAGTTTATCGTTCAGCAGAATTAATAATGGCAGAAAAAACAATTGCTACACTTTTAAGCAAAACTTTAGAACAAACACCTAAATATTCGGGTAAACCCGATCAAAATGCTGATGAATGGCTAAACGATCTTATTGCAACATGTCGTATGGCTGATATAACTGAAGCACATGCATTAAAACTAGTACCTGTGTTTTTGGAAGGACATGCTAAACAATGGTATTCGGACAACAAGGAAACATTTGAAACTTGGAATGTATTTAAAACTGAATTTATTCGAACCTATTCTTCACCAACAACCAAACAATTAGCGTCAAATCGTTTACGAACTCGTTTACAACATTACGATGAACCTGTTATTGAATATTATACTGATATTATGAAATTATGTAAGTTAGTTGATCCTACTATGACTGATGCATCAAAACTTGATCACCTATATCACGGTTTAAAACATTCATTAATGAAGGAAGTTTTACGTCAAACTCCACGAACACCATCAAACTTTTTAGAACATGCACAACGCGAAGAAACTTTGGATCGTCTTATTACTACGTCTGTTCATCATACCAATGATGTCATTGATACCAATACACCTCATAATGCACCACTTCATCCTGCACCACCAATTACGCCCATATGGCACCAAACTTCTCCGCACACGTCTTATGCTTGGCCTCCACCACGACCAACCCAGTATCAGCGATCATCATATCCTTCAACTTATCAGCAATCATCATATCCTTCAAATTATCAGCAATCATCATATCCTTCAAATTATCACCGATCATCATATCCTTCAAATTATCAGCAATCATCACCACATAATAATCCTTATATTTCAAACACATCGTTTAATAATTCATATCCTCATCGACGTTCTGTACAATGTTATCGTTGTCACAAGTTGGGCCATATTGCCCGTGATTGCCGAATGGCAAAAAACTATTAAGGGAGTCAAATGATGGTAGTGACTCCCACCCCTCACAACCATCGTTATCTTACTCATCCACAACTCCTGCCTATTCATCAACCAAATTCACAACATATTATCGGCCCACCTCGTCTTATTATTCCTCTATTCGTAAACCTCAACCAATTAATTATTATTTCAAACAACGTATCGTCAATAAAAATACTATCACACCTAATCCTTCATTAATTTTTATTAACACTCTTATCAATGGCAAACCCATACGAGCTATGATCGATACGGGCGCTTCTCATTCATTTATTACACAATGTGCATTACGTACACTATCCTATTTCCGATTGCCATCGTGTGAACGTACCGCCCAATTAGGTGATGGTCAAACAACACTTAAAATAGTTGGTGAAATTCAGCTGTTCCTACAATTTGATCAAGTTTTTACACTTGTCAATGCTCTCGTCACTCAAACCATGAACACTGATTTTATACTTGGTGGTGATTGGTGTACAAAAAATAAAGTAAAAATTGATTATGCAAAGAGTCAAGTATCACTATGTACACAACTTGGTCGTATTTTTATCCCGTATCATAAACACATCGATTATTTAAGTTTAGATGTCAAATCAATCAATGCAATTCATATACCACCACGTGAATCTTGTACTGTTCAAGCCAAAGTTGAATTATCGTCCGCTAATACTGTATATTTTTCTCCTGCTGACACTATATCACTTGAAAGATCTGTTATAATGTTACCAGCCTTATTACACGTAAACAACTACACAACCTACTTGGAGATATACAATCCTCATGATACTACATGTACATTACCAATGAATACTCGTTTAGGCCACATTACTCATACACCACATAAACTTCAATCGTGTGTAATATATGATCCATCTCGTTGTTCGTCATCATGGTCGTCTCAACATCATGTCATTAATACAATCGACCTTAAACAAACACCATCTAACACCTGTAAAATAATTGATAAACTTCTGGATCATATTACCAAATGTCAGGACAAACACCAACTACGTCACATACTTGAACAACACATCAAAATCTTTGATATTTCACATGTTACACAAGCAAACACATCTGTTCCACACATTATTAACACCGGTGATAGTCTTCCAATCAGTTCAAGACCATATCCACGAACAATCCAACAACGACGTGAACTTCAAGCTGAAATTCAAAAAATGTTGCAAGCTAACCAAATTCGTCCATCCATTTCACCATGGTCATCTCCAGTCATTATTCACAAAAAAAAGGATGGTGGTATTCGTTTTTTGGTAGACTATCGAAAATTGAATTCAGTAACAAAAAAAGATTCTTTTCCTCAACCAACAACTGAAGAATTACTAAATCGATTAGGTGGTCATTGTTTTTATTCAAAATTAGATCTTAAATCCGGTTATTTTCAAATACCGATACACGAAGCTGATAAAGACAAAACAGCATTTATTACACAAGATGGATTATGGGAATTTAATGTACTTCCACAAGGCATCATGAATGGACCACCAACCTTTCAAAGAACCATGCATAATCTTCTTGGTTATGGACGATGGGACTATGTCATGGCATATTTAGACGATATACTCATCTTTTCACGTACTTTTGATGAACATGTTAAACATTTAAATGAAATTTTATATATATTAGCTGATGTCAACTTTCAAGTCAATCCTGATAAATGTTTTATTGCTGTTCAAGAAATCGATTTTTTAGGTCATACAATCAATGAACACAGTATAAAACCTAATGGTGAAAAAATTAAAGCTATTGTTGATTTACCATCTCCTAGAACCCTTAAAGAAGCAAATGAATTTTTAGGAAAAATTAACTGGTATCGCAAATTCATTCCTAATTTCGCTCGTATAGCTGCACCACTACATAAAGTAACCAACAAAACTAAACATCGTCGACATGAATTTAGATGGGGACCTGAACAACAACAATCATTTGAGGAATTTCAACATATACTAACAACATCTCCTTTATTTTTAGAATATCCAGATTTGTCGACTCCATTTACATTAACAACTGATGCATCAGATATTGGCATTGGTGGAATTTTAAGACAAGATACACCAGCTGGAACCAAGATCAATTATTTTAAATCTCGTGTCTTAAATGATACTGAACATAAATATGATACATTTGAAAAAGAAGCATTAGCTATTTATTGGTGCATTACCGAACTTCGATCTTATATAGGTGACTCTAATTTTATTGTCGAAACAGATCATCGACCACTTGAAAATTTCCACCTTAAACAAATTAATAATAAACGTGTTATGAATTGGATTTTTAAATTACAAGATATATTACCACAAATTATTGCAGTCAAATATTGTAAAGGAGCAAACAATACAGCTGCCGATTATATTTCACGACATGTTCCTTCATCAACATCGGTTAATACCACACCCCCTGGTCCAACTGATACGCCTCATTCTCATACGTGCGATACTCCTGAACTTAATGCTGTTACAACGAGAGCACAAGCCAAACTCCTTGCTCCACCACGTTCATCAACACCAATAGCATCTGAATCTACTTGTTCTTCTCCATCAACAAGTACTCAATCATATGATTTTAGTTTATCACATATACGTACTGAACAACACACTGATTTAAATATTCAAAATATAATACAACAAATTCGAAATGAACGTCGCTATTCATCGTTTCTTATTCAAGATGATATTCTCTACAAATTAGTTCGTCGAGATAATACAGTACTTAAACTTATCTATACACCTGCGACTTTAATTCCGGACCTGTTAACTGCTTATCATGATCACCCGTTAAGTGGTCATTTCGGTATTGCCCGTACTTGGTCACAATTACGAAACGCATATTATTGGCCTCGTATGAAAGAAACCATCATGTCGTATATTAAATCATGTGATAAATGTTCCAAATTTAATCTCGATCGACGTAAACCGCCTGGATTTTTACAACCTATCCAACCACCGAATGATGTTTTTCAAATACTAGGAATGGATTGGTGGGGACCTACTATTCCTTCACTTTCTGGAAATCGATATGTTCTCGTTGTAACTGATCGTCTTTCCGGTTATGTTTTTGCTACAGCATCACCTACCAATACAGCTCAAGATACTGCTCGAATCTTAATGGAAAAAATTATTTTAGTTCATGGTCCACCAGATATATTAATCACTGATCAAGGTACACACTTCAAGAATGAATTATTACAAGCTATATCAAAATTAGTGGGTTGTGCTCATGTTTTTTCAACACCATATCATCCACAAACAAATGGACAAACTGAACGATGGAATGCAACATTTGCTACACAACTCGCTAAATTTTGTAATACAGAACACGACAATTGGGACACTATTTTACCATCTATCGTTTATGCATATAATAATGGTATACATAGTTCGACTGGATTTACACCTTATCAACTTGCTTTTGGACGACAACCACGTCATCCATTTCAGCCTCCTGCAACTACTTTCGAATTTACTAAACCACATGATTATTGGACACAATTAATGCAATATAGAAATACGGTGTTAAAACAAGCGAAAAACAATGTTCTACATCAACAGCAACTATCGAAACTTCGTTTTGATAAAAATAGATCACACCCAATTTTTTTACCAGGTGATCTAGTGTGGATGAAAATTTTCGTGGGCCGTAATAAACTCGATGCTCGTTATACAGGTCCTGTTCGAATCATTCAACTTATTTCACCGGTGTCTTTTATTGTTGAAGATGAAAATTTTCAACGATTTCAGGTCCATTCGCACAATATTAAACGTGTATATTCTCGGAATCAAGTCATACCCTGGTGAAATTTTCTCTTCCTACGCTAACACATCGCTAGAATCATTACATATTCACATGTCGTCTTTTGTATTTACATTCGAATATTTTCCCCATCTGAATTTTATCATCGTTACTATTCGAACAAGTTTTTATATTTTTTTTCATCGATATTTTTTGTTACTTTCTTATTATCCTATATACACTGCATATACTCTTACACGTTACTTTCAAATTATTCGTTAACATTTCTTTTCTACCATGGCGGTTCTATTCATTTGGGTTTGGTTTATCCTGACTCATTCAATCAATGCCCTCCTTGATAGCAAAACGGTGGTCTCTTGCGATCAACGCTTTGATAGTAGCAACTGGACACATTATGTATTCTTGCTGTTACTCGTTGTGGGGGGTTTGGTACTCGCCGCTGTTCTTATTTACGTTTATAAACGTTGCCGACTGACACTGAAACTAGCCAGTCAACAGCAACAAGCATCACAACCTTTTCCAGCTCATGTCTCTTCCATTTTAACACCACCTTATCAGCCACCTTATGCTCATATACCTAATTCGTTTTTACATCAATCTTTACCACAATATCCATCGTTATTACTTTCACCACCACGTGAACCACACACATCTTCACTGGTACCACCAAACCCGATCGTATCCTAAACATTTTCTCTCGTTTGATTTCTCTCCATCTATTAATGCTTTCTATTTCATTGTACTTGCAACACCTTTAATATTTGCTTTTCTATTGGTAATCATCTGATATTCCACTTCTAATTAACAACCTTTTCTTTTGTCTATCTTCATTATTCGAACTTCGGTTTTTTCTTTCTTTTGGTTTTTTTTTGTGTGTGATTCAAACCATTTTTCATATTGTATCTTTTGTTCTACTTCAACTCTTCTCTCACCGGGGGAGGTGTTATGTCAGGAGAGACATCTCCTGACATAAGAGGGCTCTCTCTATAATATTACAGCTCTCGTTAATGGCATTCCTTCTCGTCGCTCCATGATATCTCTTTGTTCTGAAAATAAACAACGAGGTATATCATGGAAGAAGAGAGAAAGAGAGAGAAAGACATTCTTTGTTGCTTTTTT